TGCTTTATAGTGTTCATAGCATTATGACAGAATTCTAATCTCTTTGTGAGGGTCACATTCCAATGGATGTTTTATGGTGTATTTTGACATTTCGTTTACAGTCTATAGAATTATACAAATAGTAGAGTTGTCTGTAAAGTTATAACAAAATAATTGCAGTAGATAATAACTAATTTCCTAGAGTGGGAGAATGGCATCCAGGTTTAGTCAAGCAGATATGTTTTTCTGGAGCACGGGGACGTATCTGGTACTTGGTATTTATGAATGCAGTACCACAGGAAACGATTGCTATGATATATACTTGTTATGATTGCACCATTTGAGTTGGTTGTACCAGTGGCACTTAAAAAGAAATGAAACAAACATTTGGATAGTCCCAGGAATTAACTTGCTTTCCATGGTTTTGAGCAATTATGGCTAACACACTGTCCCTCAGCTATCTTGTTCCATGAAAATTATTGTAGCATATATGACATGTGAAAGAGCTCAATATACAAAACATTCTGAAAGATTTCCAGCAAGTAAACATTGGTAAAGGCAATGGCCATTACAGAATAATTCAGTCTTTACTTAACTGGGACCCTTCCCGTCAGTGGAGATTCTACCTTGGTCCACAATAGTAGATCCTAATGCAGAATCAGAGCTTCTGATTTGATTTTAGTGGTGTTACTTTGTTTTTACGTTCTTAAAACTAAAATGTGAATACGGCTAAGGGTTTCCATTTTAACCCTGACTTTATTTACTTGTGTGGGTTTTTTGCTTCAATTTCTAGCATTATTTAAACTTAAACTGTTAGCTTTCTTTAAGTTTGAGTTCTGTAACTCTTCTGAGTGCATGAGTTCACAATAAATTACATTACAAAAATAGCCATGTATATAGTAACATGATTATTAAATAGTGGGAGGATTACAAATCCTGAGCAGACTGCAAATACATGTGACAACGTTATTGTATTAATTGTACACCTGCTATTTCTAAGTTAATAAAGTTACATATTTTTAAAATATAACTTGCATATTTTACAATTTAAATTTTTTGTTAAATACTTCTTAAATCCATGTTAATTACTGGGGACTTAGCATGTCAGGGCATACAAAGTCATGTTTTAACAACTCAAATCCATTTTTTATTCTATAATACATATATTCCAGTGCTCTAGAAGGTTTTTTTAAACAAATATATATTTGTTCACTAAAAAATAAACACTGGGTATTCTCCCTTGCTTTCCCAAAGGTCACCCTTGAATATTTTTTTTCAACTTAGTTACAAACTCCTAAACTGAATGTTGCCCTGGAAAAGATAAGTTCATAGCTACAGTAGTAAAAAAAAATACTTTCCTAAGTAGGTGCTGGTAAATAGGTGTCATTTTGGTTAAATTCCCCATTGGATATATATGGAAGCAAAGTGAAATGCATTTGTTTGTTTGGGGTGTTATCTACATTTGTAAACAAGATGAATTTTAATACAGTAGCTCATGCAAGCTCTCTGAATGGGCATTTTAGAATCTTGTATATGAATTATTTGATATATAAGTGTGTTTCTGATGATTATTATGTATGCCTTGGTATCAGTGATGTTAAATTGAATGCTTCATGCTAATATCAGGAATGTGCCCAGTACCTTCGTAGTAGCCAAGAATAAATTAAAATTGGGTATGGTCCATATGCTGCAAGATGCCTCTAGCCCAGTTGCATTAATCCTATGAAAAATCTAGATAAGCAAGAAATATAACTAATCTGCTTACTAGCACTGAATTGCTCCTTTCTCAAAGCAATAAATATATTCATGTTGTAACATCTGTTGTGCGGCCTACAATACAAGTTGTTTTGTTGCATTTTGTTTTCTATATAATTTATTTTGTGCAATAAAAAAAAAATCATCTGGCTTTATCTGACTTTTCTCTAGTGTGTAAAAAAATACCTGAATCAACACATTTTCTAATATTAAACCTTATAATGCAGGTATACCATCAACTCGGTGTAGAATTTGGCAACCATTATAGTTTCATAGTTGGTAGGGTCGGAAGGGACCTAAGCCAATCATCAAGTCCAACCCCCTGCCACGGGCAGGAAAGGATGTTGGGCTCAAATGACCCCGGCTAGGTGGTTGTCTAGCCTCCTTTTGAAGACCCCCAGGGTAGGAGCAAGCACCACTTCCCTTGGAAGTTGGTTCCAGCTCCTCGCCGCCCTAACTGAAGTAGTGCCTCCTGATGTCTAGCCTGAGTCTACTCTCAGTCAACTTATGGGTATTGTTCCTTGTTACTCCCGGTAGTGCTTGGGGGACAGGGACTCTCCCATCGTCTGCTGGTCCCCCTTTGCAGGTTTATAGGCAGCCACCAGATCCCCTCTCAGCCTTGTTCAGGTCCTATAGCCTCTCCTCATAGAGCCTATGCTGCTGCCCCCGATCTCCTCATAGGGCCCTCCTCTGGACCCTCTCGATGCTATCCACATCCCTCCTAAGTGCGGCACCCAGAACTGGACGCAGTACTCCAACTGTGGTCTGACCAATGTTGCATAGAGGGGGAGGATCAACTCCTTGGACCTGGTTGTGATGCATCTATGGATGCATGACAAGGTATGGTTAGCCTTCCTGACTGCATCCCCACATTGGCGGCCCATGTTCATCTTAAAATCGCTAGTGACTCCAAGACCCTTTTCTGCCTCTGTGCTGACAAGAAGGGAGTTCCCCAGCCTGTGGGTATGGTGCTGGGTCTTCCTCCCCAGGTGCAGCACGTTGCACTTTTCCGTGTTGAAACCCATCCTAGTCTCATCCACCCACCTCTGTAACCTGTCCAGATCTAGTTGTAGCCTGTCCCTCTCTTCTAGCATGCTCACTTCTCCCCATATCTTAGTTCCATCTGCGAACTTGAACAAGGTGCTTTTCACCCCCTCATCCAAATCACCGATGAAGATATTGAACAGTGGGGGCCTGAGGACCAAGCCCTGGGGAACCCCACTGCCCACATCCCTCCAGGTCAAAAATACCCATCCACCACCACTCTCTGGGTGCGGCCCTCCAGCCAATTTGCGACCCATCTGACTGTGTAGGCATCGACACCACAGTCCCCTAATTTTATAATGAGGACGGGGTGAGAGATAGTGTCAAAGGCCTTCCTAAAGTCCAGAAAGACTGTGTCCACCATGACACCTGCATCCAGGGCTTTTGAGACCTGGTCGTAGAAGGCAACCAGGTTGGTCTGACAGGACCTGCCTCTAATGAACCCATGTTGATTGCCCCTAAGCATAATCTCCCCTGCTGGTCCCTTGCAGATGTGCTCCTGGATAATTTTCTCAAAGAGCTTCCCCAGGACTGAGGTAAGACTAATGGGCCTATAGTTTCCTGGGTCCTCTTTCCTCCCTTTTTTGAAAATGGGGACCACATTGGCCCTTTTCCAGTCCTCTGGCACCTCGCCAGAGCACCACGAATGCTCGTAAAGCTGTGCCAGGGGTTCCTCAATGACCTCTGCCAATTCCCTCAGCACTCTGGGGTGGAGATCGTCAGGACCTGCTGATTTTGAGCATGTCTAGTCCTTCCAGAAGTTCCCTGACTAGGTCCTCACTGACCTTGGGCCTGGCTGCACCTCCCCTGGGTCCGTCTGGAATCCCAGTGTGGGGGATGTCCCTGTCCCTGCTCAGAAAAATGGAAGCAAAGAATCTGTTAAAGAGATTAGCTTTGTCATCTGGTGCTGCCACCAGATTACCAAGCATGTGCTGCAGAGGACCCACATTACTCAAATGTGATGCTGTATAAGCCAATTAAATGTCAGGCATTTGTTCCAAGAAGTCTCTGATTGATTCTGCTTTCAATCCTATAGGACATCTTGAATGCCTGCCTTGTTGGATATGGGGGTTGTTGACACATTCCCCCACCTTACGGTCAGGCTTTAATACAGCACAACAAAAGGGAAGCAGAGAGGATCTGAAAGACAGTGATTAGAACAGTGACACATCATATCTACCTTTTGTTATTGTGTAGTTATAAAACACCAGTGTTCAAAATCAAATCAGAAATGGAGGGCAATGTTTTGCCGTATGTAATGATCAATGTACACTTAGTTTATTTGGAATAACTTATCTAAGTTATTGGGAGCTTTATAGTTAGCTTAATTGAGAACAGATGCAGTATGGTGTGCTTTTACAATCAGATTACGTAGTGTGGGCATGGGTTAGTTCACTACAGTATTTTATACTCAGCTTTCACAGTAGTCCTCTCAACTTCATAATATTGTTTTTTTCATGACATATTCTCATTTTCCTTTTATTCTGTTTTAGTTTAGCTTGAGCTTACATGATTTTACACTGCATGCATTTATATTTTTTATTTCTATTTTTTTTAACGTGTATTTAAAAATAAGTACACATACATTTAAAATCTATCTGACAACCCTTGGGACAGACGTATAATTGCCTTACTACACGAGTCATCTCTGACAGAAAAGAGGAACCAGCGCCCAAGACTAATTCAGTCACACAGTCACATCAACAAAATCTCTTGGTCAGTAATATAAAAGGCTGTTGATTAAATCTAAAAGAATTAGTATGGATACTTGGTCTTCATCCAAGATGAAGAGAAGATCATCAACCAACAAGAGCTTTACAGTATCCAAGCTTAAAAACATGCCAAGGTTGTTCAGGATATCTTAGGACTCCACATTCTGCAAATTGCTACATCCAACAGCCTTCTCAATAATCACTAAAGAGGAAGAGGAAAAGTCAATATTTTACAAGATTCTTGGCATCGAAAGGAAGTTTCATGATAGAAGACTTAGCAATCCATTCTTAAAAGCTGCTTGAAAGCACAGAGGATCTTTTCTAATAATCGAATCATTGGCTGACTAGTGGACTTCATAAGCCAACAAGGACATGTTCAAACCTACAGCTCATACAGCAGAATCTTCATGCACTTTCAGAACACTTGTGATTGAGTGAAATTAAACCAAAGAGGACGCTATGTTTGTACTCTA